CCTTCATTGCCTTGAGGGGCCCTCACTGCCTCTGGGGGGCCCTCACTACCCTAGGTTTGCTTAGCACTGCTTCTAGAACCCTCCGGCAGGGTCTGAGGGAAACTTCAGCTATCCCAGGGCTCAGGGCAGAGGTAGATGGGCTGTTTCTCTAATGCCTTGCCTGTATGACTGAGGGGAAGGTTCAGCCCTTACCGAAAATACTTGGAGAGGCCTGAACTTGTTTTCCTTCTCGAGTAAGTACGTACAGGCTGTTGGACGTGTTGACTCTGGAGACAAGTGTTAGGCAGCTTGTACCACCCTGGTAATCAGGAGGTCTGGAATCCCAGCTCTGCCACTGACTTGCTGTATCACTTTGAACAAGTCACTGGTCTTCTCTGAGGCTCAACTTGTTCTTCTGTAAAGTGGGGATGATAATTTGGCTCTCTCTGGGCCAATATAAGAAAATTGCCTTTTTCCTCCTTAAAACATGATCTAAGTGGGAGTGGTTGGTTCTGGGTCATCCAGCTGAGTCTCAGGCTTCATTATTCAGAGCTCTGTCATGGAAGCTGTGGACAAGATGGTTGGCCAGGCAGGATGGTGCAGTGGGAAGGGTGCTGGATGTGGGACCGAGGGAGGGCACCAGAGCCAGCCTAGGAAGGGTCCAACACCCTTGTTTCACAGACAGTGAAACAGAGATGGGCGAGGCCAATGGCCTGTTCATGGCTCTCCAGTTTCTAAGTGTCAGGGATTTAAACCGACTAACTCAAGATCTTCTCCACTGCAGCAAACTGCTGCCCAGGTGGAGGCCTTCAGGCGCAGGTGTGGTGGGAGGCCTCTTTCTGTATCCAGGATGACCGCCTCTAGAAGAAAGAGGAGTGGAAGATCAAGGCAGGCCAGAGGAAGGGAGGGAGAGAGGAAGAGAAGGAGGTAGAGAGAGAAAAGGAGAGAGGAAGAGAAGGAGGTAGAAAGAGAGAGAAAGGGGGAGAGGAAGAGAAGAAAGTAGAGAGAGAAAAGGAGAGAGGAAGAGAAGGAGGTAGAACGAAAGAGAAAGGGAGAGAGGAAGAGGAGGAAGTCGAGAGAGAGAGAGAGAGAGAGAGA